AAGAACTTCTTGTATTCGTCATTAACTTTCTGTTGAAAGGAAAAAAATTATGAAAAATTGTTGAATCAGTTATCGATGTAGTTCCATCTTTCGGACATCCGTAAAATGCAAACACGGCAGAAAACAGTGAAGAGGATACTGTGTAGGAAATAGCAGAGTTATACTGTACTCAGGAAATCCTTCACTCAACTTTCTGGTTGCGTTCTTATATTTTTCAAAGGGATGTCGGACTAAGAACCTCTTATCAAGATAAACAAGCTGGCTTCAATTGAGCTTTTGGGTTTTCGGGTTCAAGAAAACAGCCCTGGATCAGAAAATTAAAATTCAGTATCATGTTTTCTTTCAAGTTTATACAGTCGAACCTCTTCAAGTCACGCGTCGAGGGACCAGCAGAAAAACTCGAGTTCGGGAGGGTTTCGAGTCAGGGAAACGTATAGTTTTTGCTTGATAATAAGTAAAAAAAAAAAAAATAGTTGCAGGAAGCTAAAATGTGTGATTGCTGGTCTTAAACGGCAGAATACTGCAAATGAGTTGACAGGGTGCTGAACTTGAAGGCAAGGGTTCATTTGCCGGAAGAAGTTGTTCAGTTCCCTTTGAAACACATATCGTTACGTTTTTATTGCTTTTATTTTTCATGTGGGGATAACATAACAGCCCAGAAGGTCTGCAGAATATTCGAATTATGAGGAAATCCGTCAAATTAGGGAGCTCAGTGCTTTTTTTTAAAAGGGAATTCAGACAGGGATTTTTTTTTTAATCGACAAATTCTACTTGGAAAGGTTCGAGTTATTTCTCTGCGTAGTAAATACAGTATGCTGCGTATGATCTCGTACTCGTTATAAATCCATTCATTTCTTGAATCCAAGTACTGTCAGCAAAACCGGCTGAAAGAAATTTAATAGGTGAAACTCCAGAAAACGGTTGACGATTTCCTCCTTTGCATACCGTACTGTCCGTTTGAAGTTGCCGATTTTAATGGTGGGGGGGGGGGGGAATAATAAAATGTTTAAAAAACCAAACTCACAGGGGAATCCTTGATGTCAGCCAAGAGCACAGTGGCCTTCACGACATGTTCGTAGCTCATGCCTGCTGCTTTCAGGATAGCACCCATGTTTTCCATGGCCTGGTTCGTCTGCTTGACAGGGCACGTGTCGTGCACTAGGTTCCCATCAGCATCAATACCGAGTTGCCCCGAAATGTACAAGGTGTCGCCGGCGAGGATGGCAGGGCTGTAATGGGCCAAGGGCGGCGAATGACCCGCCGGCATCACGACTTTCTTGCAACCCGGTTCGCAGCACTTTTCCGACATTTTTCCAGTCGTGGACGAGAAGTAAACCTTAAGTAAGTGTGTTTCGTGAGAAAATATGGACCTGGAAGAAAAACATCCGTGGTGAGGACATGCAAAATTACCATCGTACGTTTTCCCCGGCTTCATGCAATGCCAAAGCTACTTGTAAAAAATAAAAAATTAATATATTTTCGGAAAGTCCTGCTCTCCCTCTGAGGGTGAATTGTTAGCCGGTTCTATCGTACACGCATCTGAGTTATTATAACTTAACATCATTTTAAGATTTTGTTCAGCCTCGTGTAGGTGTCGCCTGAAATTCGTATTTGTCACTCCTACAGTCCTACATCCCCGAGAGGGAACAGAATCAAAATTTGTATAGTATTATACCAGTATAATACGCTCTAAATATTGTAGCCTCACGAACATGCATTTGAAGAAATTTACCTCAGCTTTTATTGGAGATGGCTGGTTGCTATTGGAGACCATGGCCATTATTGCAAAGTTTGTTCAAATCAAACAAATTTGACTGTTGCAAATGGGACAGTTTGAAACGAATACAGTCACTCATTTTTATTCATGGATTATTTCCTTTCAACCCCCAGCCAAATAAAAGGCACTTTACCACAAGTGAAAGTGATTATACAGCTTTATTGATGAAAATAAAATTCCAAAAAGTATGTACAGTTCTGAACAACAATATAAATACGTACGTAATATTTTTTTAATGCAGACTTGGAAAATTTGAGGTATAATGAAATATTAAAACTGCTTTAGAGACTTCACTGGGAAACAAAGTCGACTTCCGATAAGTGAATTTTCGGTAAACGAACCAAGTACGATTAGTGCCCCGAAATTAATAATTAACAATATTGAATTAAAAAAAAAAAAAAAAACACGAGAAGCCGGGTGGATTACCTCAGAACAAGTCCAGTGCACAACACTTGTCTCTGACGAAATAATTTTGAGATACTCGCGGTCATCTACTGTATTGGAATAAACCAATGAAAGTTCGGCTTCGAAAAGTTGAATAAGGATTCTTGCGACTTTCCGGAGCCGTCGGATGATACTACACACTGAGGCTTGATAGGTTGCTCGACCGTGAACTTGAGAAGCTGAGAGAAAAAGTTGCTCCCTCGACTTGATGAATAAACAACAGTCTGTCTGTTGCTTGGTCCAAACCTGTCTGTCCATTTTCTGAGTGAGGTCCCAATGTTTCCCAGTTCCAACTGCTCCCTCCAAAGAGGACTTATACCCTGAAATATACTGCATACATGCAATTCAACCTGGATAACCTGAACCTAGGAAGTGGAATGCCTCCAAATATCAAAATTTTCAAAGTTCTGGTGTGAATTCCCTTACAAAAATACATTAAAATCCTCCATAACTTGAAGACTTTTCTCAAAACTCCATAAATGAAATTTGATGAAGGCATTTTGGCTATCACAGGTGGTACCCCACAATCTGACCTTAATCCATTGCCAGGATAGGGTTAAATTGAGAAGTGGTTGAATCGCAAAACAATGTCAAATTCAATGCTTTCTAGGACAAATTTGATGCTTTTTGTCTGTGCATGTCAAATTGCTGGGCAGAGATCAAATTGCAAGTGGATTTCCCAGAAAATTTAACCGCCAAATTTTGGGGTGGTTAAATTTTTGGACATCAACTTGTCAGGTATTTACTGGTATTTTATTGACACATGAAAGAGAAAAGCAATAAAAGTGTAACTTGCTGTGTTTTCATAGGAAGTGAAGACTCACAAGGCAAATAAACCCCTGCCTTCAAATTCAGCATCCTGCCAATTCATTTAAGAAGCAATTTCAGGCATAAAATAACACCAATTACTGTGCAATATCCTGCAATTCTTCATCCTTTCACCAAACACTGCTGCTGCTGGTTTCCCTAACTGAAAACCTTGGTAAGTAACGTGAATTTTTTTCTGGTACCTTAGAGTTCAATTTGAAGAGGTTTGACTGTACTGTATTTCATGTACAGTGTGTTTCTCATAAAGTAATTTATTCATATACATTGACATCTTTGACCTTTTTTTAATACTTTGACAGTTAAAACTGAAATTTTTTTGGAAAAATTTTCAACAAGAGATATTTGCTGCAGTAAAGAGTTCATTCATTAAATTTTTAAATTTTGAATGAAATCAGAGCGCGCAAATTTTTGATGAACCTTAGTGAAGCCCATATTCGGTGCAGCACAAAAATTTTTTGCACCGTTTTGAATGACCTTAGATTGATTTTTTCGGAATAAATCTTCAGTTTGAAATGGGGTACTGATATCAAATAAGCATCCGAAGTTATGGTATTCAAGTCGCCCTTTCAAAATCTCGCTCAATAATTCAAACTACGGAGCTTTGATTATGGCTAAACTTCGATTTAAAACAGCACGGAAATCAAGAAAATATTGTCTTCTGTTTTTGGATTCTGCTGTTGAATTCGGCTTCTGAAGGTCATTATGAGGAATGTCTGAAGCAAGCTTTGACGCGTATATACAAGCAAGAATGTTGTTGGTGTCACATTGACATGACAATATTTCTTAGTCTTCTGGTGATCCACAGCAGTTCCTTCTGTGGGTACAGAGCAAGTTTCTCTTCATTTATTCTTGAATTCAAATGTATACAGGCTCGCACCAAGGCGGATGACGTGATGCAAGGCCTGTAGGATTTTACCAAAAAGGCAGCTGACTATCATAGTTATCAGATTGTCACCCGAATAGGTGAAGAAAAATAGACTGCTTTCCTATAGCAAAAATTATTTATTGATAGATCCCCAACAAGCAGAATAATACTGAAATCTACGAGCTATTTTAAATTAAAATCAGTACGCAACGGACATACAGTCTGTTGGAAGGAATATATGGTATACGATGAGTAACTTATATTAAACAATCCGTAAAAATCCTGAACCAGAAATACTGTACAGTAGTTGAACCGGTTGCTCGCTTTATGATGTTGACATCAGATGCAAATTTGTCGAATTGTTCGTCCGAATTCCTTTCGCAATACAGTAATTCTTTATGCAATCTGTCGCATTCATTCGAGTACTGAGATGAATATTGTATACACGTTACATAGACGTGATCAAATAATATGCAAGGTGGGTTGCGTAAAGTATCGGTGTGTCTACTATGCATCCAGCACCCGCTTCTTTGAATGATTCATGAAATACAGTCATTTATTCATTTACATTTTGGAGGCATTGAAATATACAACTACAGAACTTCAATCATCAAGGCTTCCATTAATCGTGACCGAATTTCAATCAAGGCAATCAGAAATCCAGAGGAGACGAATGCAAGCAGCACGCTGACGGACGATTTGTTTCAGGACAGCGTTTGTTACGCAAGGAGTTTTTATGGGGATTTTAAGCCCACATGAAGATCAAAATACGATTAATTTTCACAACTATGAAAATAAGGAAAATCTTGATTCGCTAAACTTCAAGATTGAATTGCATATACCGTAATAATTTAATTTATTGACATAATAAAGCGGATTGGGAAGTTGAAAAAATGTAGGAAAGAAAAAAAATAATCTCCTCCGAGAGGCGAAAGAAAACTGAAAATTACAGGATTTTAACGAGGATATTTGGGATCTTTCCAGCCCGTGATATATATTCTTATTTATTTTTTATTTTTTGCTGACCGCTCATGATGAGTACTGTGCAGCAACGATTGGACGCAATGCTGAATTAATTTAGTTAATCCAGATTCTGCTTTGAAATAATACTCCACCATTACTACACCCTAACTAATTCTCTTTACTGCGAATACTGTCCCATAGGTTCCTACCAGGATCCCCCACCCTCAGAACCCATCTGAACCTCGCGGGAGCAACAGCTCACGTGGGGGATACCCCTCGCGGAGGGTATTCAGGCCACCGAAACTGAAGTACAAATGTGTACCAGTAGGCTGAATTACCTTTCGTGAAGATTTACCTACCAGTGATCATAAAATATGTTATATACTTATTTCCAGAAATAAAAAGTCATGATGAGTGAATCCTTTTCGGAAAACCACCAAATCAGTGAGGACGAATCCTCTTTGGCAGAATCGCCTATACCAGAAGGCAAGTTTTTAAAAATACCACCAAGCCACTTATCCAGAAGAAACCCCAAAATCAAACATAAAGAGGATATTACCGCAACAGACAATTTAGTCAAGGATCTTCTAAGCCTCTCAGTGATCAAAAAACAAATTTAAAAAAAAAAAAAAAAAAAAAAAAAAAAAAAAAAAAAAAAAAACCGCAAAGACTAATAAATTTCTCTCTATCGGGTACAGATGCGATAGAAGAGCTGATCCAGGGTGAACCATTGCTGAAGCCCTCGGAAATATTGCAGCCAACTCATAATGAAAATGAGGAAGAAATAATTGCTGCAGAATTGCGAGACGGCAACGATACGTTAGCCAGATTTTTGCCGGCATTACAAGAACGAGAACCAATTTGTGTCCTCGGTGACATTGCAAAAAAGGTGGTTGAAAAAATTTACAAAAACGCGATGTCTCAGTGCAACCGCAAAGAAATTGTTGCCGAATTTACAAAGATCCTTCCACCGGTCGGAAATACAGTGGTTGGAAAAGTGCCGCGTATAAATCACCCACTCTGGAATACATTAACGAAACCAGCAAGAGTGACGGACAGCATGCTGCAAAAAATTCAATCTATCCTAATGTGTGTTAACAATGGACTGATTAAAGTGTTCATTGACGAGGGTTTAAATGAACCCCTTCGCGATACTATGGGAAATACCCTGAAAGCCCTTGCCAATGCATATATGATGCTGCAAGAGGAAAGAAAGAAAAATGTACGAAATCACGCAAACGAAAACGTACGCGCGGCGTTTCAAAATAATCGTATACCCACACAATCGTTCGGTGAAAGTTGGGTAAATTTATCAGACGGTGAATTGGTGAAAGAAATCGACCAATTGGTGAAAGCGGACCAAGCACTTCGGCCGCAGTTCCAAAAAGCCCAAAATTGGCGAGGAAAATCGCCCAGTGTGCGAGGAGGACATCAACCCTTTCGACCTCGCCCATACCCAAAAACGCAAGGACAAAATCGTTTCCAGCGTTTTTTGGGGGAGGGCCAACCAAACAAGTACCGCCGTCAGAACGACGATCAACCCCAGAACAGCTACAGGGGACGATCCAATTGGCGCACCAGGAGAAGTTGAAGGTCAGTAAAATTCCGGATCAAATTGTGGGAGGACGTTTACGTTTCCACATAAAATTTTGGCGTGAAAACGTCACAAATGATCCATGGATTTTACATATGATAAGTGGAGTCAAAATTGACTAAGATGACATCTCTAAACTCGGAAAAGATTATTGGGAGGAAGGAAACGATCTATTTATTCCGTTTCTAGAAATGCAAAAAACGTCCGCAGCAACACATCAAACAAGACCAGGAATTTGTTTAGCGCCGTATACGACAAATCAACGCATTTGCCCAATCAATCTTGTAAAAAGATATGTACAAATGACGCAATTTGAAAATCGAGCCTCCTTTTTGTTTGTTTGGGCCGATAATGGTCAAAGAGTGCAAAAAACAACACTCCGCCAATGGTTGATAAAAATCCTAGTGGAAATTGGCATCAAGGATACGCCAGGATCAACAAGATCCGCAGCTGCCAGTTTCGCGTGGGCCAAAAATAGATCGTTTGACTCCATCGCGAAACTCACAGGATGGAAACAGGAAACGACCTTCCAGAAGCACTACAACAGACAACTTACTTCCTCCCCTGTTTTGGAATACCTGGGGGGGACACCCAGCAGCAGCTGCGCCCCAGGCACTTCCCGTCAAAAAGCCATAGAGGGACCAAAAATAGATTTAACAGCGCATTTTTCTCAAAAATCCGACTTAAATTTACAACCGGATCTCGGCAGTAAAGTAATTCGGGAAAGAAAGAGGAAAATAGTGCCAGTCCCCGAGGACGCAATTGCGACGAGAACTAGAGCACGCGCGTCGAATTGCAAAACGGCGGAAAAGTGACAAGCGTTTTACGACTGCAGCTGTGTCGGCGCAAAGTGTCAATAAACTTGTGTTTTGCCCTAGAACTTGGGAAGCATTGCAGATTTCTTTTCCCATGAAAA